AATTAAGACAAATTCAATGCAACAAATCTCAGAAAGTCGAATCGAGAAAAAGAAGGAAATGTAGAACGAAATCTCGCTCGACTAAACAACCCCATTTCGTTACTTCATCTCGTCACAATTAATGTCCCCTTAATTAATGTCCCCTCACACCGGTATACGGTGTATTTTTTTTTCTTCTTCATTGCATTGTTTCTCGTGAAAAAAAGTTGGCACTGGGCATGAAAAGGGTAGAGATGCCCGGCGTCTGCGCGCCGCGACGCGTGCTATGTATAGCCAATGATAGGTCTGCCGGGGCATCGGTTCCTTCGTGCGAATTATGTATGTTCACTCCAGGCTTGGTCATCGGGCAAGACGCACGGTATTATGTTTGCACCTCGGAAAAACGAGCTTGCAACACATTGAACAACCACAATCGTCGGCCTGACAGCTCGAAACGTGCACGTCCACGAACTGGTTTTCATCCACGTTTCATCGCCGTCTCGACGAACGAGCAAAAACGAACCCCCGACGAAATCCGCGACGGTGTACACAGTTGTTTCCTCTTCCGGTCAGATCGATATCACACATACGGAGAACAAATTTTTCTCTCCGATCGACGAGCAAGCCTTCGAGGATACCTTCCTAACGTTTTGGGTGAGATTCGGACGAGTTCAGTTCACGTTAGTTGAGTCAGTGGATCGGAGACGAGTCGTTTCGTGAAACACCTTTCGGAAGGGGCAGGGAAAGAAATGCGAATTTCGAGCGCGTGATTTTCTAAGGACACGAGCCGATGGTGCATGTTCTTCGCTTGTGCAAGAGGTATTCCTCCCGCTGGAATTTCTACTGATAAGGGCGTGTGCGTATCGCAGTTGCTGTTTACACAAGAAGGTAATTACTGGTGGAATGTGCTCAGTGTTGTCCTTTTGTCTGTTGAGATTTTTAAAATGCCTGTTGTCCATTTTTTCCCTCTCTCTTTTTGGAGAATATTCCTCTCAAAGGAGAGAAAAAGAAAGCAAATCTCACGTTTTACGGCGAAATTCTCGAAATGCATCACGTGCGATTGTCGGAACAGATTGGTGATCTCGTGCAGTTATTACAGAGTGTTTTTCACAGGGAAGTGAGTCGAGCGCACTTTCGAACAACACGTGATCGACAGATAAAGCTCGATAAGCTTGTAAATCGAATTTACTTTAGACAAGCAAGTTTTACGCAGAGTTCGTAAAATATTGATGCAACTAATAGTTAGAATCCGTGATAAAAAAACAAATTTTAGATATGTAAGTGTCTGTGATAACGGGCCAACTTAAAATGTAACTCGAGAGAAGTAAGTTGAAGCTTTTTACGAACTTTGGAAATTCGTCGATGGTTTCGTTGTCGAAAGATAGAAAAAGATGAACGAAAATTGCAATGAAAGCATATATAGATCATGCAAGAATTATATTTTGAATTATTTTGGAATCACGTTGTTCATTTCAAGGTTCAACTAATTCATGAAAATTTCATTTAGGGGAAGCTGCGATTTCGCAAAGAATTTCACAGAAACAATTTTCAATCCCACAAATTATTCTGTGTAAATAAAGTTTTTGGAGTTTCGATATTCACTTCGACATGATACAGCTTAAAACTCTGACTTCGATCGTGCTCAAGGTATAAAATGAATGATCGTTCGAGAAGCCCTCTGGTTAGGTTCGATCTCGTTATACTTGTGTTGCTACTCTAATCCTGTTATAGTTCTTAGTAAAAGAATTTTACTTTTCAATTTGCAGTCTATAATGCAACCCCCCCCCTTTTTTTTTTTGTTCATTTCGAAGTATATATCGTTATTTCAAAAAGTAATATAAATTTCGATTCAACCTCGAAAAATAATATAAATTATTCTTCTAGAGAAGATTTAGAAAATCGCGAGAGTAAACAAGTTCCACAAAATTGTCGTCTTAATTCGTTTCACAATTACCAAGCAACAACGATTGTTTAATTGTTAATATTTTCTTCCCCCGGACATTTTAATGTTCACGATGTTTTCTTTTCGGTAGATGTTAGTTCTGCAAATTATCGTTTAAATTGCTGCGTCTGTGTTTGGAACGCTTGTTAAACAACGTCTTTGTAAAGCGGTGCGCAGGCTATAAATTTACTGGTGAACGCGTACAAATATTGAATGAATTTAATTAACAATGCAAGATAAAATTAAGCTTCTCTAAACGCTAGATGATTCTAATTTTATTTCACTGTTTTATGAATTTTTTAAATCCAAGAATATTCTGTATAATTTCGAACAGTAATAATGGTACTATTTTTAATATAATATTTAATAATTTCAGAATTTTTTTTTTTGATCATAATTATATTAGATCAAAAAAAAATTCTGAAATTATTAAATATTATATTAATTATGATGAAAAAAAATTATATTATATATTAGATCATAATTTTTTTATGATCTAATATAATATAATTTTTTTTTTATCTAATATAATTCACACGATTATATTTTCATTGTTTTACGAACATGAATTGAAGCATACGTTATTGGTTGAGCTTGAATTTCTCTTTTCTCGGATGAAGTCGCGGATTCGCAAGATTGATGACGTAGAAAGAAACAAGATATACCGAACGCGAATACTCAGAACCATGGGAAATAATCGATACGTGTTTTCAAATACTGAGGAAATTGCACGGTAGCAGCTTCTCGTGTCTAAAATTCCATTCAAAGAATCGATACATTAAAATGGAATTCGCAAGGGAGAGATTCAGAGAGACGTGTGTCACCACTTTTAGTTAATTAGAAATGATGAACATCTAGTCTCGAAATACTCGACCATAAGGTTACAACAAATCCTCGAAGAAGCATATCTTGATTTGATTAATTAATTTTCATAAATTTCAAAATGCGTTCTCCGTATTTCTCTGTATTTCCAAGGTGCTTATTTTTAGACGTTGTGAAATTACGAGGTTTAGAAATTGCGCAATTTTATCCCCGATTTCCGTCTGTAGTAAGAGATAGTTTATCACGAAATGAAACTCGGGTGTTCCGTTACGATAGTGAGATAATTACGACGTACAATTTTTTACGTGTAACTCTTTACCAACACATGTCTGATCGCTATACGTACATATCACTTAAAGAGCCAATGTTTTCCTGCTCACTCGAATTGATTAAAAATTGAAAAATCAGGAAGAGAGAGGGAGAGAGAGAGAGAGAGAGTAAGTTAAAAATACTTGTTTATACTTATACACAACTTATCTTGTTTCGCATTTTTGAAACAATCAGTTCGTTGAAGTAGGAAACTAAAATTCCGAAAATAAAAATTCTAAAATGTAACACACCGAACAATATTCTAACACGAACGATTCTAATGTTGTTTAATACTTTGTATTTATACACAAAATTCAGCGTTCAAATAGCACACAAATTGTTTATTTATAATCTATGCATTCAAACAAATCTTGTCTAAAATTATCAAATCGTATGATTTTACAACAGATGCTGTTAAATGATTTATTTAAATGCTAAACTGCAATATTTAAACAACACAGATTATTTGTCTACACTGTGTATTATAATTAAATAAATTCGTTTATTACACAATCATTGAATCATATGATCGACGAACCAACGTTGACACTAAGATAGTAATAAAATCATAAAAAAATATACGTACATAAAAAAATATACATATGTATATTGCAAAAATCATGGATTGATACATGAATGTCATTAATTATTGATTGAAGTAGCAACGAAAACGATAAAATCGTTACTGTTCAGTATCAGCCACGGATTTTGCGCAACGGAGCGCACACCCTCTTTCCACCTGCTTCGGCTGAGGGTGAGGGATTGGCAGAGAATGTAGACCTCCATGGCAAACTGTACACCAGGCAGAGAGTATTGATCACACGATGGTAGCAAACGATGAACTCTAAAGAGGGATTACCTCGGAGATTTCCAATGAAATTTCAAGTTTTGTTAAAAAACTTTTACGTCAAAATCACTCTCTCAAGATGATTGATAATAAATCGACATTGCCTTCTGCATCAAACAACGAAATATACGTACGTATAGAGAATTTATGTTCTATTAAACGGATACTTAAGAATGGAAATACTCGAGGATTATGATAATGAATGGGAAAATATTTTTAGTTGAAATGTTATAAGCATTTTTCGCTTAAGCTTCTTTCTTTCAGTGAATACTGTATAAATATTAACTGAAACTTTTAAACCCTCGCTTTTTTTTTTATCATTCTACATATTTGCATTATGATCAGATTATTTTAAGAGACTTCGGATTATTGCGGATTATCTTAATGAGAGAAAAATCTGTGGCAAATTTATGCCCACGATAAAATGAAATAGTATGTCCAAGGTGAAATGAAAGTCTCGGTCTCGCACTTTCTCAGATTCAATTAGAAATTGGAAATTGAGTCTTTTTTATTTGCATGATTGAATTAACTTTAGAAACTAATTTCTACGTGTGTTGTAATTGTAATTGAAATTCAGTGTAACTCGATCGTAATGAAACTTCATTTATGAAGACGAATATTTTATTTGCTATTCGACTAAATAAGGACTCGCATTAAATCACCCCAAGTTGTTAATTTGAGTCTTAACATCGCCAATTAGTCATAAACAAAGGGTTCGTATGCTTTCGTTACATTGACCTTTAAAATCTATCATACATACTTGAAATTATAACTCATGTGAAGTTTGTTTTAACATTATATAGTTATTTATGATCATTGCAAATAAATTTCTTTATTTTTCATTCAAATGATCATCGAATTTCTTAAAATTTTGTTTAACGACACGGGGGAAATTCCATTGGCAAAATTCAGTAACTTTTGTACTATAATTTATCATGCAAATAATTTTTAATAATAATTCAGATAATTACTTATCTGACGCAGTATGCGCATTCCATTCAATTACTTAACTAGTAGTGTAAAATTCTAATTCAATGATCAGGATTTCTAATTTATTATTATTATTATTATTATTATTATTATTATTATTATTATTATTATAGCATTATACTAGTACTTTTTATGGTCACTATTCTGGACATCCATTTGTCTGACATAGTACACACTTATCGTTAGAGTGGAATATCTCTGTGTGTGAAGTTTTAATCCAGTGACCTGGGGATTCTAAAATATAACAATATAAAATAAATAATAATGATAATAATAAATTCTAAAAATAATTAATATTATTAGAATTATTATAAATAAATTATTATTATAATAGTAATATATAATAATATAATATACATAAGAATAAATAACTAATGTATAAGAATTATTATAATAGTAATATAATATATAATAATAATAATAATAATAATAAATTCTAAAAATAATAATTATTATTAGAATTATTATAAATAAATAATTATTATAATAGTAATATATAATAATAATATGAAATTCTAAAAATAATTAATATTATTGGAATTATATTATAATAGTAATGTATAATAATATAATATACATAAGAATAAATAACTAATATATAAGCATTATTATAATAGTAATATATAATAATAATATTAAATTCTGAAAATAATTAATATTATTAGAATTATTATAAATTCTATAATTACGATGGTAATATACAATAATAATAATAATAATAATAATAATAATTACAATGGTCATAGTAAAATTGCATTTCATCTTCAAAGAATTGCATCTTCAAAGTCTAGCTTCATTTGTTTCTAAGAAGACAATCCGTTGAAATTTCACCCGTGCATGATAGAACCAACATAATAGTTCCCTTCAACAACAGCTTGCAAGGGTCAGAACAACGTAAAGTGAAACGATCGCGAAATGAAACACAAAGCGCGAATTGGCGGGAAAACAAACGTCGTGGCCGTTCCCGTTCGTGCTCGAATTCCATCGATCGAGACACCACGCTTTCCTCGAAGCGACGCGGCTTGACAGGTGTAGCGGGAATAATAGAGAACGATCGCGTTGCCTCGCAGTTTACGCGTGTTATGCGCGCTATTTTCAGGCAACGGCATGAAATTACCAGTCGTGCGTTATGCGCGAAAACGTCGGACGCCGGTCATCCGGAAGATAGGTTCGAACAGGAACGCGTTTTGCAAACGAGTATTTCCACACACGCACGCACATGCAATCTCGTCTTATGACTCAGATTGTGAAAATGTTTCGACGACACGTCAACTAATAATCAAGATGTTGCGAGTCTCTGTAACTGACGTGGAGGATCGAAACGAATCTGATTGGATGCCACTACGTTCGCGATCGCGAACAGTTATGGTTCGCGAAAGCGTTCGAATGTTTGTTACAGAATATTGTTTATTACAGAAGGTTGTACGAAATCTCTTTGGTACTGTAATGAGATTATACACCATTGTCGCGATTATAGTTTTTTTTTTTTTTTTTTAGAATTAAACTTGTAGTGATTTTAAGGATTTTTATGGATGCTTATGGATGCAATGGGCACACACACATTTTCAGATTCATTTCAAATTTTAATAAAATGATAATAGTTGTGTTTTATAATATACCATCTAAGTATTGTAAGGAAGAATTACAATCCAAGTTTCATGTTCTCTGTCGTGAACAAAATCAAATCGTGCACAGAGTACATTTTAAATTCGAAGTACTTTTCCAATTTTTCGTTGTCGTTTTAAATTGCTCCAAATTATTATGATCGCCGTACCTCGTCAAACAAAATGTATCTACATATATAAAAATGATTGGATACTTGGATAGATACTTCCATCGTGCAACATTAGAAATTAAATTCTTAATACTTCCCTGAAACTATTTTCTCGTCGTTAATCATCATACAAAATTTATCTGTGGAAAAATGATCGAACACACGCGTTTATCTATTAATATCTATTTCACCAGTTTACCGATTGTTACGGAAGTCGTCTATTTGTCATACAACGTTCTGTGTTCGCCCGTACCGGCGAAATAGGATATTTTAAACGAATTGCATATTAATATCAAGGTCGTTTTAAATGTATCACAGTCGTCGGGACAGTTGTGTAATCCTACTCCTTGTCGTATCGCACTGCGAACACTGTACTCGATCGGGCGAGGCTACAACTATTCTAAGTTCGTGCTTAGCACGACGATTCGATTAAAAAGAGAAAGAAGGAAGGTTCGTCGCCATGTAATCTGATTTTCAGCAATGTTGCGTTACTCATCGATACGTGTTGCGTTTCCTGTGGCACGTTCAACCCCGATATACCCGGCGATTGTTTATGCTCTCTCGCATCGTTCGTGTTCCACGGTAGTATCAACTCGAGGGATCGTGTGTACTAACATTAAAACAATAAGAATGTATTAATTAGATAGTATTACAAAATCTGTTTTAAACGTAAGTCTCGAAATGTCTGATTTGGTAGAACGAATCTCTGTTTGAATATGTTGGCAAGCACAGCTTGCTGTTTTTACAAACAATCAACTTTCCAAAGTTCTCCTCCTTCGTTTCTCTTTCCAAAAGAAACTTTCCATTTCTCGGTTTTTCAAAATCAGTGTAAATTTCTTTGCTCGTTTTTCTTTCTCCTTTTTGTTCTCGCGAGTCTCTGAAAATTTAAAAAATTTGAAAGATTTGTATGAGCTGATAAGAGAAATATTACCTATTATTTTCTTCTATTAATTGGGATAGAAACCACCCCCTTCCAACTAAAAGACTCTTAAAATCTTTCACTTGAAGATAAATTGTGATATATATATATATATATATATATATATATATTATAATTATATATATCACAGTATGTATATATACATATATATAGGTAAGATTTCTCTTATCAGCTCATACAAATCTTTCAAATTTTTTAAATTTTCAGAGACTATATATATATATATTACAGTATATATATATATATATATCACAATTTATCTTTAAGTGAAAAATTTTAAGAGTGTCTTTTAGTTAGAAGGAGGTGGTTTTTATCCCAATTAATAGAAGAAAATAATAGGTAATATTTCTCTTATAAGCTCATACAAATCTTTCAAATTTTTTAAATTTTCAGAGACCATATATATATATATATATATATATATATATATTTTCTGGAATCTTAAATTAATTGTCATTACGTGTAACATTTCTACGTCATTGGAAATTTTACAGTCACTTTATATGTAAAACGCATATATGTAGATAATGAGGCCACGCCAATTGTTAAATAGACAGCTATTTGTAGCTGTCACACGACACCTTGCAAATGTTTGAACAGCAACATTTACTAGTTTTTCCATGGAAACGTAAATGTAATTACTCGTGACCTCATCGCTTTATCATCATAGATAATACGATGCACTTTCGATAAATAATGCAATCAGTCAGTTGAATTCGTGCAATTGGATCATGCAATTACTTCGGAAATTGTATAATACATATTCAAACGTAAATCGTAATTTCTCTCATTAAAAAAAAGAAACAGAAAAAGGAAAAATTAAGGAAGAAGAAAAGAAATAAAATAGAAATGAATTTCAAATAGAATTAATTATTTTGTAATATATGAATTGTATAAATCGATATTTTTTAGTTGTTAAATTATACAAATCTTTCGACATACATAAGTAATTCTACGTTTTTCATGAATCAAACCGTTCAAACCGTCACTTTTTAAATAGGAAATCTTATAAAATTTATCTTACTTTCGTTTACTTTTTAGACAAATTTTTATTTTTTTTTATTTCTTTTTGACAAATTTCAGCAAGTCTGCCTACTATATTTAAACCAAAAAAAGGCATATATTATTTACAAATATCCTCGACGAAACATTGAACGTTTGAATATTAAAGTATTGAATATAATGGATATAATGGCAGTCCAGGTATGGCAGATTCTACTGTACACGCTCTCAGTCATAAATGGTATCAGAGACAAAGAAACCTCTATCCACACCTCCTATCTAGAGTTAAACACATCAAAATTTTCATTCAACTTTCCTACTCTTTCTAACGAATAATAAAATCAGAACTTCCCATTGGAACTGGGATCCTTTCGCCTTTCTCTCTTTTTATAGCGCCTCTATTGCTTATCGATTACTTCCTTCGAGTAGACAAAGAAATCTCTATTTCTAGAATTAAATAATACAATTCCCCCGCTTTCCATTCTCTTTTGTGAATAATACGATCAGAACTTCCCGTTGGAATTGGGATTCTTCCATCCTCCGTCTCTCTTCAACTTCTTCCTCTCTCTCTCTCTCTCTCTCTCTTTCTCTTCTATTACGTGACGCGACCTTTTCCGGGATTCTCGTCAACGTGCATTGTCTTCCGATGATCGAATAGCAGGAAAAAAAAGAAGAGTCGATCGGTCAGCAAGGTTTATTCCATTCTCGCCTAGTCCCAACGGGATGTCACACCAACATTACGCACACGTCCTCGTGTGTGCGTGTACGAAAGATTAATCACGTGACTCCTTGTAGACAGGATGCTGGCGGTCGCTTTTGAAACCACAAAAGCGCATCGACTTACTGCCAGTCGGTTCATTCCTTCAGTGACTTTCACGCGAACACGTGTTTCGATAGTGACGCTGGTATCAGTTCCATCTGTCCTACGAATCGTTTGCCAATCGGCAGTTGCAAAGTTTGATTTTTTTTTTTTTTTTTACCTCGGGGAAAAGTCTGACGTATTTCTCGTGGATCGTGGATCGTTTCGATTCTTTAATCAGAGTTGGAACCTGCGCTTGACAAACTTGAGAGTCTGTCGTTGTTGTTGTTGTTGTCGTTATCGTCGTCACGATACTCTTATGTTAGTCTTAATTGTCAGTTACGCGTTTTGGGAAATTTCGAAACGTTCTGCCGTGAGAATTTAGCAAAATCAACTGACATTGTCAACTCATAAATTGTTTTGCTACGTGCCGTTTTCGCGGTCTGTGACGCGTAAAGAAACTTGAACTATAATAAGCAGTTGTAGCTGAGGAAAGAAGGAGTAGATGATAAATGATAATAAATTACAGCAAATAATAGAAATGAATTTGAGAAATTAGGAAAGAATGATTAAAATGATAGAAACTTTAATAAAAAATTTTATCTAATTGTGTATAAATAAACCAATGAGATTTCAGCGAAGACTTTCACAAAAATTGATAATTAAGAATCGTATATTATCTTTTTGAGAAAACTCATTTTGGAACATATACATACATA